TTTTTTTTTTTTTTTTTTTTTTGAGTATTTTTGCTTCAATGTTCATAATGGAGATTGGCCTGAAATTCTCTTTCTTTGTTGGGTCTTTGTGTGGTTTAGGTAACAAGGTGACTGTGGCTTCATAGAATGAGTTTGGTAGTGTTCTTTATGTTTCTCTTTTGTGGAGTAGTTTGAAGAGTATTGCTTTAGCTATTCTTAGAAGGTCTGGTAGAATTCTGCACTGAAACCATATGGCCATGGGCTTTTTGTGGATAGAAGATTTTCATGAGAGCTTCTATTTCCTTAGGGGATATAGGACTATTTAATTGATTTACCTGGTCTTGATTCAGCTTTGGCAAGTGGAATTGATCAAGAAAATCATCCATTTCATTTAGATTTTCAAATTTTGTGGCATAAAGGCTTTTGAAGAAAGACCTAATGATTGTTTGGATTTTCTCAGTGTCTGTTGTTATGTCCCTGTTTTCATTTTTTATTTTTTTGATTTGGATAGTGTCTCTCTGCCTTTTAGATATTTGGCTAATGGTTTTTCCATCTTGTTAAATTTCTCAAAGAACCAGCTCTTGGTTTCATTGATTCTTTGAATTGTTTTATTTGTTTCTAATTTATTGATTTTAGCCTGGAGTTTGATTATTTCCAGCTGTCTACTCCTTTTTTTGTGTGTCTGCTTCTTTTTTTTTTTTTTTTTCCCCCCTAGGGCTTTTAGGTGAGCCATTAAATTGCTTGTTTGAGATGTTTCAAATTTCTTCTTGAAGGCACTTAGTGCTATGAACTTTCCTCTTAGCACTGCTTTCATTGTGTCCCATAAGTCTGGGTATGTTGTGCCTTCGTTTTCATTGAATTCTAGGAAAAGTTTTATTTCTTTCTTTATTTCTTCCCTGACCCAGCTGTCATTGAGTAGCATGTTGTTCAGTTTCCGTGTGTGTATAGGCTTTTTGCTCTTTCTGTTGTTGTTGAGGTCCAGCTTTAGTCCGTGGTGGTCAGATAAGATAAAATGTTTATTTCAGTCTTCTTGTATCTGTTGAGGCTTGCTTAGTGACCAAGTATATGGTCTATTTGGAGAAGGTTCCATGAGGTGCTGAGAAGAAGGTAAATTCTTTTGTATTTGGTTGAAAGGTTCTGTAGATGTGTGTTAGGTCCATTTGATTCCTGACTTCTGTTAGAGATATTGTTTCTTTGTTTAATTTTTGTTTTGTTGAGAGTGTGGTGTTGAAGTCTCCCACTGTTAGTGTGTGGGGAATCTATGTGTATTTTAAGTTTTATTAATGTTTCTTTTACAAATGTGGGTACCCTTTTATTTGTGGCATAGATGTTCAGGATTCTGATGTCTTCCTGGTTGAATTTTCCCTTGATGAGTATAAAGTGTCCTTCCCCATCTCTTTTTATTAAC